CTTGGCAGCGACCTCATCGCCGCCCCTCTCCCGTGATCTCTCATCTCCCCCGCAGGTTCCCCGCCGTCACCCCGACAACTCCGCCGCCGCCGCGACAACTCCCTCTATCATAGGTATTTTGATCATTGGTGGAGATCACAGGCTCAAGGTGTAAATTTTCCCTTCATTTTCGCTTAAATTATTATGTTGCATGCGAAGTGTTCGTGTTAATGTCTGTGAGAGGTTTTCCATATCAAACATGTTCTTCGTACAGTGTGGGATCAAAAAGCTCGTGGGATGCTGCAACTGCCTTTGCCTTGTTACTGTCGGTGGTTTATTCAAGCGTATCAGTTTTTGTAGGATACTGGGTTTCCAAAACCAAGTCGGTTTCTTTCATGCCTATTGACAGGCTTTAATACATCATTGTAGTAGTAAAGTTGTATCTTTATGTTGTATTATATCTGGGTGTAATTGATGTTATGAGATGGATATTCTTTCATTTAATTTTTTACGGAGTTGCAACTTCCGTCGAGATGATATTTATGTTGATAAATTTTATTTACAGCTCCGAGTGGAATCTAATGTTGTCTTGCATTCATTCTTGTGAATGCACATGTTGTTTGCTAATGCAGCTGCTGCTGACTTTAATTATATTGTTCATGAGAAACTTTGTTTGCGTCGTTACTCATCTTCTTAGCAAAATACAATTTCCACTTTAATTATATTGTATTGCGCTGTTGCACATCTTAGCAAAATACAATTTCCACCTACATTACTAGAGAAAGTATTCAGTGAGGATGGATTGAATATTGCAACAATAAAACCACACGACCAGAAAGTATTCAGTGGAGAAAATGAAGCAGGAAGTACATGCATGCTTGCTCAAATAAAACCACACGACCAGAAAGTATTCAGTGGAGAAAATGAAGCAGGAAGTACATGCATGCTTGCTCATTGATTTCAGCAGATATGGGAGGGAAAAAAATAGCGAAACACAGCCAAAATGCTCAGTGTTTTCATGACCAAAGAAATTTCCAAATTAAACATAAACCAGCAAATACTATACTATAAATTCAGCAACAACTAACATTTGATTACACAAAAACTTAAACCAGCTTCTATTCATACTTCAGCTACAATCTTCACAGGCTCTACATCCCAAGTCAATTTAGCCACTAGCTCGTCACGTTGTGTTACATACTCCTACAACATTAAGATCACAAAATAAAAACTTCAGCCATTATTGATTATACAATCACAATTAGTCAATAAGTCCATACAATCATTTAACACCACATTGCTCTTGAGCTCCGAAATACTTTTGCAAACTATCTCTTTTGCTTTTTCTAAAAATAAAAGATAAAAAAAAACAGTTAGTGATATTTCAAGAAAAGTAAAACAATAAACAATATAGAAAAATATGTAAAACAAATGAACTAAATTGAACTTACCAACAATTGACAACCCGTCCTATAGTGTCCCAATTGTTGACAATAACCACATTTTCGTTGTCTCACCTCTTTTTGCCTTTCCGATTCTTCAAAGCCACTTTTAGTCCTAGTTGAATTTTTCAGCCGTCCCTTTGATTTTACAGGGCCGAGGGGATCACGAACCATATGGGAGGCTCATTACTTCAACTAGTCTAGTCCCCGTGTTCTTCGAATGGATCTCTTAGTTGTTGAGAGGGTTGCCCAAAAGCCCGTGTTCTTCGAATGGATCTCTTAGTTGTTGAGAGGGTTGCCCAAAAGCGGTATATAAGGCGTACCCTGTAAAGCTTACAAGTAAACCAGATATGAAGATGGCGAATAGGGTTGCTGTTTTCATTTTTAGATAATTTCAAGATCACAATATATCTACGATAAGATAGTTTATTTACAACTACAACGGAATGTCAAGATCACAATATATCTACGATAAGATAGTTTATTTACAACTACAACGGAATGGTATACAAAGTCAATAAATCTCAACCAGCACATGAGTATTTGAATCTACATGGGTCTCAACTTGAGAATCCATAGTTTGTGCCATATTGCGCCTTGCTTCATCCCTTGCTTCAACAAGAAAATTTGATATTTGTAGCTCCAACTTAGAAAGAAGATCATTCGAGCCGCTGCCATATCAAGTGATTCATTAAAATTTCCTCTTAAAGCCCATATTCTTATAATACTTCTCCGCTCCATGCTATCATCATTTTGTTGCAACTTCATAGCATTAACAAAGCCAAAATATCTATACCTTGCATCAATTTTCCATCTAGGCAAGATATATCCTCGTTTAACCACAATATATTTAGTATATGCTTACAAAGCACCCCTTCAGTTTCCCAAAATGAACAAGTGCATGCAACATTAAGCTCACTATTTATTTCATAGGTTACTTCTTCCCAATTCTTTATTTTCAAAATATTTTCTAACCAAGTATACAACTTTCAACTCCTCCTTTGACACTTCTTCATAATGTAATGACATCACATCACCAAGCTCCCTTTGGAACATCTTCAAGATACCCTAGTGTTTACCTTTCCAACTTGCTCTTCAATCGGATTTGAGAAGCTCATCGTGGGTAGGGTGTTCAAAGTCATGAATTCCTCATGAGATTCTGATACACGACGAGATGCCACTGCATTGTCATATTGACCCACGAACTCAATTAGTCTAGTGTTTGCATTAACAAAGCCATCAAAAAAGGCATTGATGCTCTCACTCCTTTGGCTTGTTGTCATTCCCGCCTAAAAACAGTCCTTCAAGTATGCATCTACCCAATGTTCACGCAAGCTATACATTCTTGTCAGCCAACTATCTTCACCTTCATTTATGTTGAATTTAACCTTTATGACTTCAAAACGCTCTTCGCATTTGCTTATACTTCTAGCAGAATACCAATTGTTGAAATATGTAGGCATCTCATCCCCGTATTGGCTCTTCAACTTTACTTGTTGCTCGGCAATATGTTTTCTAACATGCCAAGAACAAAAGCGATAATGAGTATTTGGCAAAATGCTCTTAATAGCTTTTTTCATCTGTGCATCCTGATCAGTTATGATAGCCTTTGGTGCAACCCCATGCATACCCTTGATCCATTGCGAAAACAACCACTCGAAGGTTTCCTCTCGCTCGTCGCCAAGCAATGCACAACCAAAGAAAGTGGATTGGTGATGATGGTTTACTCCTGTAAATGGAGCAAATGGCATACTCAACTGATTAGTCTTGTATGTGGTATCAAACACATGGCATACTCAACTGATTAGTCTTGTATGTGGTATCAAACACAACCACATCTCCAAGACTTAAATAAGAGGCTCTAGCTCTACCATCGACCCAAAACACACTTCTCAGTGTACCAAACTGATCGACCTCCATAGCAAAATAGAAATCTGGATCTGATTCCTTTCTGTCTTGGAAATGTCTAATGATGTTTAAGCATTCACAGCCAATGTTACTTTGCCTTGTCTTTCTGACATGATCAATCATTTGTTGTGTGGTGACTTGTTCAGCATCTTGTCCTTGATATCCAACATTAGGCATCTTTTTAATATTAGATGGTCTCATTCCCTCTTCATGCAACAACTCAATGAGGCTAATGCAATGTTTCGATCGATGTCGTTGCTTGTGAGAATGATGATGCATTACTTTATCAAGGCTTGTTAAAGGATGAACATGCTCAGAAATGAACTTAGTAACCTTCCAAGCTTTTGAAGAAGTAAGCCTAATCTTTATTTTTGCACCACAACCAATCCTAGTTTTCGGACGATGATTGATAATCAATCCACTTGCATTTTCAATCGATGCTCTCTTTCTCCCTGCTTTATCGCAAACAAAAGTCCTCGAAAGAATCTCTCTTGAAGCTTTCTTTGATTTTTCAAAAGTATCTTTGCGAATTCCAAACTCAATCTTCTTTGCATATGCATTGTAGTAGTTGTATGCATCGTTGTCCGTCTGAAACTCCTTCCCTTCAAATGGAATATCATCACTAATTTGGTCATCCTCCATTCGACAATTCTGTAGTATTAAAACATCATATGAATTTATTAGCCATGAATTTAAAAAAATATATAAATCTATCCTAGAAGTTTACTTACATACACAAAATATTCACAATTCGCTAATATTTGCCGACATATATTGTTCGGACATAAATTCATTCAAAAACCAGTCTTTCCTCCAAGTATCAACCAAAAAGTTCTATTCCACAATAAAATTAAGCACATGTAAAATTTATTACCTTCTCACTTAGAGGCACTGTTATCGGCAATTGTCGCTCTTTCGAGGAGGTGGCCTCCGACAAGATGACTTCATGAGAAGAAGATGCTTCCATTGTTGCTCGTTCGAGGTGGTGTCCGAGGAAGAAGGCTGCAACACTTTCAAATCAAAAGATATTTATTTTATAAATTGACAGAATCCAAGTTCATATGATAATAAATACAATAGTTGTTCATCTCTTTACAAGCAATTTGCACCCAAGAGTTGTTCACCTCTTTACAAGCAAACTGCAGTTAATAATTATCACGAGTTGTATGCATAGTGAGTGATCATGTCATGGTTTAACCTTGATTGTGTCAGTCATAAGTTAATGAGAAAGTTATAAATTTACAACAAGCAATGCTTTGAAATTAGTTGATGCAAAATTTATATAATTTTTGTCGTTTACCATCCATACCATGTATACTGTCTATTCAATTAAGGAGGTCATAATAATTTATTAATTAGCATAGGAAAATGAAAGCAGGTAACATGAATATCACTAACTTTTTTCAAATGACAATCATCTCAATTTTGAACGGGAGAATGAATATTCAAGGATACTAGCGAGTTTGAACTAGTAAATGTGGGAAAGAAGTTTATGGTTTATGTTGTTGTATGAGTTGAATACTCAGGAAACATATTGTTAACTACAATTAGGCTCTTAACACAAAAAACCAAGCAACTGCACATTCGCCATAATCCAGCGGAGAAGTTTTATGAAAGACGAAAGATCAATGCAAAATGTAGCCCTTAAATGCCTTCAACCACTCTGCTCCAACGGCACCTAGAATTACAGTAAATGTGCCTCCCTGGAAATATAGAGTGTTCAATTAACAAATTTCTACAGCCACGACATAAACATTGATGCCATCTGAAAGTGTTAGCACCCACCTCATAATCGGCGTTGGTGTCGGTGTCGAGAGAGGGAGGAGCTCGGCGTCGGTATCGGGTTCTCGGGCGTCAGTGTCGGCGTCGGTGTCGAGAGAGGGAGGAGGGAGGGTCTTAGAGGGGGAGAGGTGTCGGTGTTGTGGCAGTGTCGTGGCGGCGTCGGAAAATTTACACCTTGAGCCTGAGATCTCCACCAACGATCAAAATACCTATGAGAGAGGGAGTTGTCGCGGCGGCGGCGGAGTTGTCGGGGCGGCGACGGGGATCCCGCGGGGGAGATGAGAGATCATTAGATAACCGAATGGGGAATGAAGTGAGAATACAATCACGATCATGGACGTCGGACGTTCACGCTCATTGGAGTGTTGCGTGATAGTATATAATATTAATAGCTAATATTATACATTATATATACCTGCTATATATATATATATATATTATATATATGAGAAAAACCGGGAAGGGTGGAGCGGAAGAGGAATTTTAGTGCAAGTTTGAACAAATTGTGAAGTATGATCTCACTATTGTGATGTGTCAATGAATGAGGAAGTGGAAGATGGGTTACTAACCACGACGTTCACCCCAAATTTGTGTTACAGTGTGTGTAGGGTTTTAGAATATATAGATCAAGTTCAATGGAAGCGGATCGATCCATAATGTAGCTCAATCAAGTGATCATCAATGACTAAGAAACTTAGTGGACGTCCACTTAAGTTGACATAAGTTTCTCCTCTCCTCTCTCTCTCTTCTCTCTCTCTCTATATATATATATATATATATATATATATATATATATATATATATATATATATATATATATATATATATATTATATATATATATATATATATTATTATAATATAGAGAGAGAGAGAGAAGAGAGAGAGAGAGATAAGTATGCTTGGTACCAAACACCAAATTTTATGCTTGGTAGTAAGGTGGCACAATCCCCTCCACTCATTCAAATGGGGACCACATTCACAGTAAGTTGAGGAGTGCATTAGGGGGGCTCACATGTCATACACTTGCAGCGTAGGAAATTTCCTGCGCTGCCCGGCTCACCTCCCGTTTTCTCATATATATATATATATATATATATATATATATATATATTATTATATATATATATATATATATAGTATTCCAACGCAAGCTCAAACGCCTCCACTAGCTCAAACACCTCCACTATAGCATTTATAATGCATGGTTCATTCAGATGGTAGTTTTGGTATATGGGACTAGTATATGGGACTGGTATCATTTAAGCTCTGCTCGTGCCTTTGCCATTATGTTGGGTATATGGGACAGGGTAGGTGGCATGTGCCAAGCTGACAACTTAAGTGGTAGTTTTGGTAACAAATTTTGATTAAAAAAAGAATTAGTTTTTAGAGAAAATAGATGACCTTCCATCTTCTCCAATTACACATTTGCTTCTCTCATTTGGTTTTGAACACAGTCCTCTTCGAATGGTCTAGCAAAAAACTTTGTCATTATGATCAATGGTGAGCGATTGGTTCCATTAACCAGCTATTGAAAATTTTCAACAGGAGTCTAAAGGAAAGCAATATAGCTCGACATGTTTTGCTACAAGTGCACAAGATAGAATATTTTCACAAAAATAAGATATTCTTTTACAAGAATATAAGCCAAGTATCGTCTCAAAAATTCCATCAATTTCGACAAGGCAACAATAACAACCAAGTTTCAACACCAAATTCACATTCATGTCATGTCATATAGAACAAATTTAACAATTTTAGTACCATAACAACAACAAAATAAAGAAAAGAAATATAGAAGTTTGAGCCCCAAGAGAAGGATCCATAATAGGTCTAAACAAGCACGTCCTGCGAGGGGGAGGAAGTCGGTAATAGCATTAACTTTGAGCACAAGATGTTTTCGGTGACGATGAGAACATGGCGTCAATGACAAACTTTAGCGATGATGGGAGCAAAACTTGATGGCGAAGTCACTACAATGAGATCACTTATGGCATGAGAACGAGATCTTTTTGGTTTATTGATTGTATTTGACTTTGATGGCAATGTCGATCACGAGGGTTGGGTGTTGGATTTAAATCTAATTAAATCTATTTGTGGGCACATATGATTAATCTGTGTGTATTGCTATCCTTCAGGATAACCCACTAAACTGATCAATTAATTTGGGTTAATAGGTATTTAAATAAATTATGGGGTTATATGTGCAGATACCAGGTTGTAATTGTAATTTGATGAGGCGCCAAATTACAAATGTACAACACCTATATATATGGGGTTATGGTTTCTAATTTAGGGTTAGCCACTCTCATTCTCTTATCCCCATCTAAAGAGATCCAAAAGGGAGAAACCCTAAGATTAGAAGATCATCAAAACCCTAATCAAGTTTTCCTCAATGGATTCAGGTATATGCTTCCGCACCTTATGATTCTTGTTAATTTCTATGAATTAATCATGGCTTTAAGGTTTATATCTCAAGTTTTTTTTAGATCTAACAAGTGGTATCAGAGCCACCGTGATTTGTTCTAAGAGATTAAGATTAATATTAGGTGTTTGTGGACAATTTTGTAATGATGAAAGAACTGTATCTGATTTTATTCTCTATAACTGCTTAGAAAAAGAATGATTACAACTCTCTCAACTCTCGATTACAATTCGAATTCCTGATTACAAAAGAGAAGAGGATTGATTTGAATCCTCTCCTTTGTTTAAATCTGGGTTCTTCACGGTAGCGATGAGATGCCTCCCTCGAATGTTTGCTCCTTTGTTTAAATCTGGGTTCTTCACGGTAGCGATGAGATGCCTCCCTCGAATGTTTGCGTCGAGTTTTCTTCTCGTTGACGATCCGAACGTCTCAACTCACTGGAACAAATGACTTGTATGGTTGAATTACTCAAGAACTCTACACGAGTGTTGTACCTCAGAATGAGTGACAAACTCTAGTAAGAAAAGAGTTGTTTGAACCAAAATAATTCGGTTAATAAGCCAAGTATCAGATATCTGGAAATCTTCAGTTTGTTGAAGATCGTTGCCTCCAGATTCTCTTCTCCGAATCCGATCCCTGGAAAATTCGCCCTTAACTCTGTTGAGTTTGTTGATATTTATGGGGAGATCAGGGGTGTAACTGCCCCCATAATCCATGCCTAAATGAGGGTTTAGTTGCCCCATTAATCGGGTATAACAACCCACGCAAACCACTCCTCAGATTATGGGTGAGAAACGGTTTTCGAAACTGCATGGATCATGTTTGAATGAGTCAGAACCTTGACTTGCGTTCTGGCATAGATTCTGTGCTTGAACGCAGTATTTGGAAGTGCGTTCTGCAGCGATTTGGAGCTGCGTTCTGCAGCGGTTTGAGCTGCGTTCTGCAGCAGTTTGAGCCGCGTTCTGCAGCGGTTTGAGCTACGTTCTGCGACGATTGGAGCTGCGTTCTGCGACGATTGGAGCTGCGTTCTGCAGCGGTTTGAGCCGCGTTCTGCAGCGGTTTGAGCCGCATTCTGCAGCGGTTTGAGCTGCGTTCTGTGACGATTGGAGCTGTGTTTTGCCTTTATCTTTATATATGGATGATACCAATGACCATTCGAGAAGGCCCTATTCAGGCCATTTGTGACAATTGAGGCATCTCAATAACGCTCTATCAACTGCGGGTCACGATCTCCACTAAGATCTTTTTTGCATGACTTTAACCATGCGCTTCTCAACATGTCGAATATTTGCCCATAGCTCTCTAGATCTTCCCGCTTTTCTAAAATCATTACACTGCTCATCAGCGCCTCTAATAGTTGCTAATATAATATTAGTCATGTTGTTATCGCAGCCATCAAGATCAATCATCTTAAATATGAGGATGTGTTTATAGCTGAGGATGCAATGATTGCGTTACTTTGACTTTTGGAATGCAGCCACTTGTGTTTTGACTGTAGGGGTGAATTCTACCTCTCGATTTGAAGAAACCGTTGACTTGTAATTTCTTCATGGTCCATAGGGGCATCCTTCGATTGCAGCTTTTCTATGGTACCAAGAAATTCGTCTGATTGTAACTATTGTGATTTTTAGACAGCCTACAGAACCCCCTCCAAAGTTTTCGAAAGTTCGCGGTTGACTGGGATAAATTTTCGAAACACTTTGGATCCCAAAAATTTGTTGATTGAATGCACCCCATCGCGGACTGAGTGGAACATCATAG